TTGACTCAGGTTGTTTTCCAGTTCCGATTCATTTGAGTTTTTATTGGGTTCAAGTGAGTCACAGGTCATTTTAAGATATCATATATGAATTGTAGATATTTTCGTAAATTCCAATGTAATAAATAATTTTGTTTTTTTTTTCTTGATATATGTCATTGATTAATTTAACAAATTGAAAATAAAAATGTGATAATAATTTTGAAATATAAAAAATTATAAAATATAAATATTACTAAAATCTTATCAATATCTTAAAATATGCTATTAGTCTTTATAATTTTATAAAAAAAAATGTGAATTTAATTTTCTATATTTTTTTAATTTATTTATTTTGATTCAAACTGTAACACTGATGATATGATGTTTTTACCAAATTGACATAACATTGATTGAAATAATGAGATTTTCTCATTAATGTTGCATTGACTATCATTCTTTGATTACCCATTCTCACTCTTCGATTCTTCCTCTTACTAGTCTCTTTCTTGTCTTTAATTCTCGATTTTCCCTAACCCAATTCAATTGTTAATTTTTTTTCTTCTCTCTTTTAAATTTGCATAATTTAGATTAATTTAAAGTTAAAGAGTTTTAAGATACTTAATTTAAATGTTTTATCTATTAATAGTTATATCAATAATATCACATCAACATTTCTCGTTACATCAACAATTGCCACATCATCATAAACTCAATCTCTATCTAACCAATGCCACACTCAGCACGATAAATATCATTTTCACATACTTAATGTCATATTAATAAAAAAATATCACATCATCTTCTTCAATATTATATCAATTTAATCAAAATATCATATCAACAACTTTTAATAGTGAAATTTTAATGGTGTTAGGTTTTTTATTGAAATTAATAAATTAAAAAAATAATTTTTACAAATTATTATGTAAAAACTAAATCCACATCTTTATTAGAGTATAAGCACAAATTGCGTAATTTGACCTTTATATATGCTATACACACACTATCAATATTTTTATCCTTTTAGTTATTATAACTTTTTAATAATATTTCAACTTTCCAATAATTTCTTCTTACATCACTAAGATTAAAAAGAATACTAATTATCGCTTACAAAAATATATCATTTAACAGGTCAATGAATTACCCAAGCATTAATACCGAAATTATAAGACTCCAAAATCATGATATTTGAAACTAATTGGTATAATATTGTTCCAATTTTAACATTGACAATTTTTGCAATTTGGAAGTAATGACGAATAAAGATATAGTGGCTTAACATGATTAATTGAATTGATCAATTAATTTGCATAACATTAATTGAAATTTAAAATTTAAACATTCAACATTAAAAATGGTTGAAAATACATTATTTATACAATTATATATCAATTATAACCAATATTATTTTTAGAATTAAAAGAGTTTATCATTTACTCATTTTAAAATATAATTTAATTACAATTTAGATATTTTCCAGTTGCAAATTCGAGTTTTATATTTCGAGGTTTGGACTTTCTTCAATCAAATTTGGGATCAATTTACACAGATTTTCAAGTTGAATGAGATTGTAGCACCTCTGCTCAAATTGGCATGGTGCAGGGCAGGATGAATTGCTTGTAGACCACAGTGATTGCACAATAAATGATAAAATTGTTGAAGTAGCAGCTAGTTATGGAGTTCCAATTGAGAACTTACTTGGAATCCCTTGAACTTAATTCTTCATCAAATAAGACTCTTGGCAGCTTGTCTGTCAGCTCCTTTTTCAAACTCAGTTGACATGGCTGCGTTCAATACATATGAGGCCAAGCAAACAGATTATCAGATGCAGGTTATGCAACAACAAGCTCTTATTTAAGTTTCAATTTCAAGCATGGAGATGGAGTAGTCATTAGAATAGGTGAGGAGACTTACTGAGGGGAGATATGGAGTGGCCTGGCTAAAAGTGGTTGGAATCAGCGGGCGAGGGTAGGAGGGAGTGGAAGCTCTTCTCTTGAGGTAAAACAAGTAAAACAAGAGAAAGAGAATGACTGAGAAGAGGATAGGGATTGAGAATATGAATGCCTGGTAGAGTTTAAGTTGAAGTGCCTGAGGATAGAGGTGAGGGGGAGTTGGAGATGGAGTATGAGGCAGACCCATCACCACCAGTCCTCAAAATTCTAATAAAATGGACGCCAAATTTCAGAGAGGGAGAAGTGGCCAGGTATAAATGCAGGTATAAGAGAAAAGGAGGGAAAGGGAGCATATGATACACGGGACAAAGAGAAATATAAAGTAAAAAGAGGCTTCAAGATCAAATATAAAATGATGGTATTTATACCCCCTTTTCTAGTGATGGAACAAGCCCACGACTGTCCACTAACAAAGGAGGTCGGGCCTTGTCTCTCACCCCATCATCCTCTAATTAGTCTAGGCATCAATGCCCAGCTCAAAAGATATGCTGAATTTGTCTATTACTTTATGGATAAATTAAATGATTGGTTTCGCAAAATCAACCCCCAAACTTTTGATTAATCTCTTATTTCAACCTGGGTTCTTAATCGAGTTGAAGATTAAGGCCATGGAGCCCACTTTATCAGTTGGTTTGCCATTCTCTATTATGGTTTTCGCTTTTAGCTTGTTTTTCACACTTGTTTACCTTGTTCTTTGCTCATGGTTTCTTCGCTTATCATCCATGACTATGCAAGGTGTTGGATCAAATTACTCAATTCTCCTCCTTGTTCAGTTTTTATGATGAAGCATCTCTGTAATATAGCTATGGTTAGTTTGAAGTATCCTTTTCACAAGATATGAATTCCTACTATCATCCAAGTTGACAAGATTATAATTTAATTTGCTAGAAAATCTGCACGCAATTGCATTGTCTAGAAGACATTTAAACATAACCCCAAAGCCAAATATAAATTGAAGGAAAGGATTTGATTGAGTTGAGAGTTGCGAGGAGGCCCACATTCAGTTTTTAAAGAACATTAATTTGATGTCACTGTGCTTGGTGGGGATGCCTGCGGGGTGCAGGATATATCATGATGAAGATACCTCTCATATCTCTCACACAAAGTGGGAATATAGAGATAAGATCCGGAGCTATAACAAAGAAATATTAAAATAAATAAAAGTGAAACAAGCCCAGTGTAGGTGTAGGTGTTCCTCTCTTGCTGTAACACAATTAAAATGCGCTCAGTCTTATTCCTAGTATATAGTAATGCACAGCCAACACATTGGCAGGGGCAGGGCCAGGGGCGGCAGCACCTGCGACTGGAAAAGCTGAAATTCGTACATTGTTTAGATGATGACTTTTGAGTAAAATCTTATCTTCAAGACATGTAGTTGTACTAGTTTAATTGTTCATTACAATTGCCCAAACTATTATCCATTACCCACAATCACTTCAAAGATTTTCTTCTTTCAATTTCCATCAATATTTGAGATATTCTCATTTCACTTCACTTCAACAGCAAGATAAAATTATTTTTTGATTAAATGTTCGATACTAGCAATTTTTTAATAGTTAAAATACCTATAAAATATTTATATTTATATTTATATTTATGTATTTTATTTTATTTATTTTTTAAAAAAATTAAAAAAATTTAATTTTTTTTAATTTTAAAATTACTTCACTTTAATTTTTTTAATGATATTCAATTTTACTGTTAAACGAGATAATATTAATGCTAACATTGCTTTGAAGTGACAATTTAATAACCTAACATCAATACAATGATGTAATATGTCACATGATATAGATGTGATGACGTGAGTGTCACATGACAATAATATGATGACATGATACTAACATGTTGATGTGTCAATACCATATGATAGATAAAAAAATTTTAAAAAAAATTTATATCACGTTATAGAGATTAAATTGAACAAAAATATATAATACAGAAATTAAATTGAATAAAATTGAGATGTTGAAAGATTAAATTAAAAAATATTTAAAAAATATAAATATTTAAGTAGATAATAAATATACTTATTAATAAACTAAATATTTTAATGTAAAAAATTTATGAAGTTAAAAATATTTTTTTAATTATTTAATTCTATAATATATCAATTAATTTATTTCTTTACAAAAATTTAATTTGAATTCTCCTTCTATAAAAACAATTTTAACAAAAATTCTATACCTATAGTCAAATTTAGATAAATAATTTACATAATATTAGAATAAAATAATACAAAAAGACTAAATAAATTTTTTTTCTATCTATAATAGTATAAAAATTTAAACTTTATTTGATTTAGTTTTCAATTTAATCCCTCAACATTTCAATTTTATTCAATTTAGTCTGTATACTATATATTTTTACTTAATTTAATCTCTATGACATGACATAAACTTTTTTAAAAAATTTTTTATTTGTCACGTGTCACCGACATGTCAACATGACAGTATCACATTAGTATTACCATATCATCATATTAGTACCACGAGGTATTGCTTGTTGACTCCATGAGTTTTTTATGATAACAAAATATTCTCATTCATTAATATCTAACTATATTATTTCAGTGTGTAATATAAATATGTATATCACTTAATAAAATAATCACTTGAAAACAAACATAAAAACTCATTAAAATAAAAAGTCACAAAATGAGTTATAAATAGAAACCTCTTAATCGGTTAACAAGACAAAATTAAATGCCGTTAAGAAGAAAAATTAAATTAACAAAATTTTCAAAATTAAATAATTAAATTACTTCATTTTTAAGTATAAATATTAAATTGAATAAAATTGAAGAATATAGAAACTTGATAGATCTTTTGACCATTGTTTGCATCAAGTAAAAGAGAGGTGCGTAGCCTTAAATGAGTTGATGCAAAGTAAATAACGCAATAGAAAGCTAAGATTCTTTCTTTCTTTCACACCCACATCTTATGACCATGTTTTCTAGTGATCACAAAACTTATAACCCCTAAATTTTTTTTTTTGAAAGTTTATAACCCTTAAATTTTACATCACTAGTTTTGGCTTTCGATTATAAAATCAATTGACAATCCCAACTAAGAAAGCCGAGGACTCAAGGAAGATATTTTCATACAATAATATCTACAATAGTGTATACTTTGTAGTAGATTTTTACTACCCAGATAAATAAAAAAAATTTCCATTACACAAAAGAGACATGCAAGGCACCAATTTCAAAATTAATGTTTCTTTCTACATTAATGGCCGTGAACAAGTTTCATTACTGCATTTCAATTGTATTGGTGCTGCACTTTATCAAGAATAACCACATATAACACCCTTCAGTCAAATCCAAGTTTAAAACTTGGGCACTCACCTGCTTCCCTTGAAATCTTGACTTCAACAGAATTCTTCGTTATATCAACTGTCTCCTGACAACCATGGATAATTGGACTTGAGCAACCAACAACTGATTCCATATTGTCTGAGTCAGTCTGCATGAAACATTACACATTATAAGAGCTCCCAAATCAGTTGTAAGAAATGGGTTTTCTTAAGGACAAGAAAAAAGGTTAAAGAAACAATTGCACAACCCATCAAGTTTGATCATAGGATAGGCAAGCCCAAAATAGCTCCTATGAGTATTCATATGGTTAACCATCTCACCACAATATGCCATGTAAATGCCTATCCAAATGGAGAATTTGTGTGCTTAAAGTTCAGTTTAAGAACTTATGCCACTCGGTGGCTGAATATAACCACCTCCATTTCTGATTTGTTTTCTATCCTTTTATTGGTGGCAGCAGCATACAAATGAACCTGAAATCATTCAACTATCCTAAGGCTTTCTACTGGAAAGAAAGAACACAAAGCCTCCATAAAGCTTTTACTGATTATACAGGAGTAATTAGCTGGGATTAAATAGTACATGCAATAAAAAATAAAATTAAGGATGCAATACAACAGTAAGAGAAAAATAGCCGAAACCTCATGTGAGTTTCCAACTTCACTGTTCTTGGAGGATTTATTGCCACTACAACTGGATTTTGCTACAGAATCCAACCCCAGTCAGAAAATTACAGCTAGAGAAATGTAATTTAGAAAAATCCAGAAGCAAAGAAAGTTGCAATTGCACATAATCGCATTTAAACTTACCTTTAGGACAGAGATCAGGGAATTTTTGGATGTTTATGCATTCAGTTGACTCCCTACTATCCAGTTTTTCACCTGATCCATGATTTGCTATTGGTACCCTTGGTGGTTGACTACATTCAGGAATATTTCTAGTAGAATCTGAACTCTGAGGCTCCTTAGGAACTGGATTCATGATGTTCCTATCCATAGACACCATGGCAATGCTGTCTTGCATAATAGGTTTTTGGAGGATGGACAGGATTTGAATAGCTGCAGAGGTAAAACATATGATTGTTGCTTATGACATCAAGGCAGCAGTGTTAATCAGAATCATGGATTGCTTCAAGAATTGGCCTTCAATGAGACCCCAGTTTGGCTTCTTTTTTCCATTTTTTTTCAGTTTCCAACTTTTGTTTTTATCCTACAAGCATCTAAGTTATTGTAAAAGTTTATATACAAGCAGTATGTAGCATATAGGCACCATGTACCAAATTCCTTAATTTACTCTCAGGTATGTTGCATAGCAGAAGAAATATACCAATAACTTGCATTAAGACCAGTCAAGTCCTGGGCCTGGTGAGAGAATATCTATGCTGTTAAGTTTTTACATCTTATATGAATAATTATGGGAAGAGAAACATGATGTCATTTTACAGAATGGAAGAAAAATAGGTATAAGAGAAAAGGAAATTCTTTATACTTGTTAGTTTTGTTACATATGATGATCAAATCAAAGTGAGAATGCATTTACCATCACGTAAAGGCTTGTTTGCAGATACATTCTCACTTAATTTTGTCTCATCAATGTTTGAGATGCTATAACTTGGATCTGCATATCCCCTTGAACAAGCATTTTTTTGAGGTTTTCCTGCATATTGATGACATAACATTTTCAGACGGGAACATCAGGATGCATAAGTAGAACTACAAACTTACAACAACAAAATACTTGTAAACATAAGACAAAGTAAGATAAAGAGTAAAACTTCAAAACTTAGAACTTAAAAATAAGACATCCTATATGAAAAGTAGAAAGAGAATAACAAACAATGAAAGTGTTTAGTTAAGACACCATAGTTCATAAAAGGAAAAAGTAGATACACAAGTTATATCAACTCAAAAGTTTTCTCGTGAGTGTTACACACATAACAATGGTAAGGCACGGGATTACATGGAAGGCAAAAATTGTCTTCAAAAATCAACTCATACAAAGAAAAGAGTTCAATAAAGTGACAAATAAGAAATGCAACTTAAGTCATCAGAACTGGCACCAGCTAACCTTTCAAAAAGGATTTATTGGTTTTAAGACAATTCTGCACTCTGTGCATCGGCCCTGTTTTTCCAGCAATATTGGAATTGCTTACACGAACATCTGAGTCCATAAGGCCTTGATAGTTTCCTTCAGGTTCTCCAATCTCAACCAAATGAGCATCAAATGCTATTGATTCACCAGATTGTATTACTTCGTCTTTCTTCAGGAATCTGCTATTTATTAGTTTCTTGCTTCCATCATATAACATAATCTGAATTAGAGACCCAATAAGGAAATTTGAGCATCAACCATAATTTATAATGAGCAAAATGGAATCAAACTAAACTATCAGCAAATTATATCACCTTACAAGACTGGGAACAAGGTTATGAAGAAGGGGACCCAAAAGAAATCAAATAGCCGCTAACAAAAACGCAAAGAAAGGAAAAAGACTTATGGACTAATTTACTTCTCAAAACTGACAAAGAAGATTATTCTGATTGTGAGGAGAAAAAGGCCATGAAGACAGTGAATATAGACCTGCCTCTGCAGGGTTCCAGAATTTGGGAGTTGTAAGAAACCATCATGGTACTTCTTGGCTTTTTGAGTAACTTGTGTAGTGTACATGACCTGCCATTCTAAATTGAAAAAGACATGTTACTCTGAAGGAGTAGAGTGGAAAGAAAGCTAGAAAATAATATAATCATCAAGAAACTTGCAATGTTTAGACTCACCAACCTTTTCCAAAAGCTCCATCACTTTCAGATTGATGCTTCTGCTCATGCCTTATTCCTAGTTTCCCATCATTACTGCTATCATTTCCTTTGCATTCACCAATCTCAACCAAATGAGCATCCAAAGATATTGATTCTCCAGATCTTATTACTACATCTCTCTTGAGATAGCTGCTTTCTAAGAGTTTTCTGTGTTCATCAAACAACACGACCTGAAAGGAATGCAAAACCAGGTGCTGTAAACATGAACTTTGCTTCTACAGAACCTCTATCAACAAAATATCACTTGGGAATTGATCTCTAACTCTAACAGTGTTGCTGAATATAGACAGATAGTGATAGTAACAGGAATCTAGAGATTTCTTGAGGGTTAGTATATCCAAATAATCAGCACTGTGAGGAAGAACATATAAGTAGAAGCTTCTGTTATTAACCTGCCTCCCAAGAGATCCACAAACTGAGACTCGTAAGAAACCATCATGATACCTCTTTGATTTTTGAGTTAGCTGTGTAGTGTACAGGACCTGCCATTCTAAATTAGAAAGGAGAACACATCAACCTGCTGAAGAAACAACAAATTATGACTTCCACCGAGACAAATGCAAATTGATCCAATAGAAACCATGGAACATGGCGGATTGTTAGTGGCAATCTGACAACTGAATGATCTGTAGCAAGGGTGAGCACAGGCATAGCAAAGCAATCACACATTCACAAAATGCGCCATCTAGGTCTAAATCCAAGTGCATGAGCAATAAGTATAAGAAAATTGTCATCAACTGACCTGTCACACTAGTTTTCAATGTAGTTGGACTAGTTTGTGGAGCACCATATTTCCGCAGTTCAGTCTTCTTGAACTCTGAAATGTAAGCAAAGTTACAACAGCTACAGCTACAGCTTATCACATTATTAATAGTATCGTAATAGAAAACATTTTACCAAGTAATAAAACTAACCTCTGATTATCTTTTGCGATGGGCTGAGATTGATTGGCCTTGCTTGGTTGCTATTTCTTCCAGCATCTGAAGCAGAAGAATCG